CTTTTATATAGTTAAAACAAATGAATCTTATAGTTTTATATTTTCTCCTATGAATAGATCTTTCGGTTGACGTTTCTTTTGCACCATAGCTCCGATTAGTGTGCTTTTTGTGCCTGTGTGTTCGTGGCAACGTGTAGAACATCTTTAAAACCATTTTACTTGTTGTTTCATATGTTTGGTGTACTGTTCTAATATAGAACATATGAAATACACAGGCGCGAAAAGCGCACTAATCAGAGCTACGTAGTCTTGATTTCTGAATTAAAATAAATAAAAACAATTTTGAATCGGGATCAGGGACCGTGGCAGAAAAAGCAGGAAATTGTGGGGCTCTTTAGCAAAAAGGCCCGCGAAGAGGTATCTTCTAATAATATGGGGCGTCGATCTAGAGATGGATGGCTACGGTGATTTGGCAAGATCTCCGGCCAAAACTAGGCAGGCACGGTGGGATGCCATTGCCGGCGACGAGAGCTCGCCGGCGAAATGGAAGAAGGGGTCTAGGGACCTCGGTTCACCACGGGATTTGCAGGGAAGGATAGAGGAGAGAATGGAGATCTCACCTAGGGTGCTCGTGGCGGTTCTGAGGAAACAAGAATGTCCTGGTGCTTGATGGAGCGGCTCGGGCGTCCTACGAACAACAGCATCGGTGCATGAGAAACAGAGAGCGAGAGAGGAAGAGGGAAGGGCGTCAGCAGCTTCGCAACCTCAGTTCAGAGCTCGGCAGGGAGTCGGCAGCGTGAACGACGGAGGCAGTGGATTCCTCTGCTTGTGGCGAGATCCCAAGCGGCGCTAGGGTGAAGCTGGGGCTAGCACGGTGGCGAACACGGGAAACGGGGCGTGGAGGACGTCTCGGCCTTCTTATAGGGGCGCCAGGCGTAGGGATTATGTAGGATCCCAGAAGAATCGGAATCCGTCTCCTGCATGACTCGAGGAAGGAGAAGACCGGCTACCAAGTGCGCTCTGCCTGGCAGCGATCGAGGACGCAGGGCCGCACTGGCAGAGAGACAGAGGAAGGAGGGCGTCGGCGGCCTGCTCTATTGGGCCGAGGCCACTAGGCCTGCCGCGGCTGGGCTTGCGCGCGAGAAAGGGAAGGGAACTGGGACTACGGGAGAGACTGGGCCTGCAGGGTGAAGAGTAGGCCGACTGGCTCGCTGGCCTTCAAGCCGAAAGAGAGAGAGAAAGGAATTCCCTTTTCTTTTTTTGAACTCCATTTTTCAAATTATTTTCACAAGGGAGTTTAATTCAGTTTGAATTTGGATTCAAAACCATACAATACAGAAACAAATATGCAACAACATGTATGCACAACAATATTGCTACATCCTATGATGAATTTTATTTTAATAAAAAAATTAGTTTTCCTATGTTTTTACGAGCACAAAAATTCATAATTAACTCAATTTATCTCCATTTCAAAAGACGTAAACTTAGGGTGTTATAATTCTACCCCCTTAAGATGAATCTCATCCTCAAGATTCGGAAGATGGTGATCAAAAGATATGGATGCTCTGCCTTTATTTAATCCTCATTTTCCCAAGTTACATCTTTCTCTGATTGGTTACTCCTTTGCACTTTACACACTTTAAGTACTATTTCATTAAGAGTCATCGGGCAGTTTCTAAGGTCTCAGCTAGATAATCTGTATAAGTGTGATCGTCTGTATTATTGATCTCCTCCAAAGGTGGTTGTTCCTCCACATTGACATCCAAAAACTCACAGTCCACTTTACTATCCTCAATGTACACATCTTCTAATAGGTCATTCTCGTATTCCTCAAGTGCAGGTTGAATACCCTCGTACTCAATTCTTTCTCCTGATGGTGTTGTTAGAAGCACCGAATGTTGGGTATACTTAATCACTCCATTACAAGGAAATAACCATCCCTTTCCAATGATAACATCAATTTCCATTAACTCCAAAACAATAAGGTTTGCCACAAAGTTCACCCCTTTTATGTCAAGACTAACTTTTGGGCATATGCGGTCAGCCTTCATTTCTCCTCCTAGAGATTTAACTAATTGGAAGCATAGTTATCTTATGATCTTTTACATATTCGCTTCGCTAGAGATGAACGAATGTGAAGCACTGGGGTCAAACAAAACCATGGTAGAGGCTGAGCTTACTGGAATCAAACCATACACAACCTCCTTAGCTTCATGAGTGGTAATCATATCAACATTGTTCAGCTTTCCTTGGATGTATTTTTGCTTTAATTCATTTCTTTGCACCTGCTTCTTATGGACCTTCTGCTTTTTGCTCCCACTGTTGTTAATTCAGGCTTTGATTGCTCTTAGCAAGCTTCTCAAGAAAGTCATTTACATGGTGTCCAATCCCACCACAATCATAATATCCCTCACTAGTAGGAGTATTAGTCTTCATCAGGGTGCTGATAGCAGGTGATAGACATGGCTCTTGAGAGTTGGAGTGTTGTACTTCATCATTGGATTGCTGATACTAATGGAGTTCCTGAGGAGGATCAAGATTCCACTGACCAGTTGATTCTTGGTACCGCTATTGAAATTCTTGTGCAGGAGTGTAACGGGGGAGTGTGTTGCTACCTGCAGATTGGTATTGCATTCTCCTTTTCTTTTCTTCCATCTACCGACGCTTGTTCTCAATCACAATTGCCCTATCCACCAATGTTTGGAAGTTGGCATACACAATGGTCATTAGTTGCGGTTGGAGTCCATCATTCAGTTCTTTCAAAAAGCGTCTTTGTTTCTTAGAATCACTATCCACCTCTCTTGGAGCATAGCGTGACAACTAAGTGAACATGTCATGATACTCACACACCAATATGGATCCTTGCTTCAAGCTGAGGAACTCCTCTTGCTTAAGCTCTATCAATCCTGGGAATGTGGTAAGATCTAAAATTTTCTCTGAACTCCTACCAAGTGATAGCAGGAGCATTATTGGGACGATGATACTGGAATGACTCCCACTAGTCCAAAGTAGTTCCCTGCAGTTGACCAGAAGCATAAAGCACCTTCTCATGATCATTACACAAGGCTATGTTAAGTTGTCGCTCCACAGCTCTAAGCTAGTCATCAGCTTCTAGTGGGTCGCTTGTATAAGAGAATCTCGGTGGGTGTCCCTTTATAAATTCACCACGCTTGTCAATAGGTGGTGCTTGATGTGGATTTTTCAACACACTTTGAGCAATCGTCTGTAATAGTTGAGTCTACGTCATCACAACCTACTCTATGGTTGGAGGATTTGATGGCAGTGGATTAGAATTGCCAGGATTCCTTCTGGCACCATGCCATCAATCATAGCATTCTTAACTGTAGCTTCAAGAGATGACAAGATAGGATTGATAGTACGACAGACAAGAGAAAACCCAATCATAGAATGTAACACTATGGGGCACAAAATGTAACACTAGAATGTAACAATCTCCATCTTGCAAATCCTTCAACCTGGCTGCCCCCCTTAAGAAAATATCAACTAGGGGCACAAAAGGGTGGTTTGCACCTTCTTCTAGATAAGTTAGCTAGAATAAAGACCTTAAGACATCCAAGATAATCTAATGTGCAAAGGTATGAACAACCAATCCTTGCGAGCAGAAAAATAGCAGTGCAGTAAAACAGCTATAACTCGAGTTCTGTTAATCCAATAAAGTTGTAGTTTATACTGTTGGAAAGCTTATGAAATCCTCTACAACTTTCTTATAGGCCACTTTTCCATATTCTGCAGTTAATTTGGTCAAAAATAGTGCACAAGAGAAACTGTTCGAGGCTTCGGATAGCACAGATGTATCGCCTTGTGATTTTCGTAACTCCCAAACCATAACAGCAATGAGGGCAGTTCTTGTGGCCACAAAAAGATATTGAAGTCTACTATAGTCCAGAATTATCACATGATTTTGGATTCTCCAAAACCCGAGATATAAACTGATAAAGGCATGTTGCTCTGAAAGAAAGGATAGAGAGAACAGGAGAAAACAAAAACCCAACTATTTATTTCATTAAGCATTATGTCCTAGGCCTATAAACTAAATAAAATTATGAAATATTTTACAAAATCATTGCAATCATTATAAAGATCCAAAACAAACATAATCATAATGACAAATCAACTGAACAATAAATGTTCACACTTCAAACATTGACAGGTTTATAGTACGTCATACAGTCAGCATTGCTCTGATAGGATCCACTCTACATGTTGAGTGAACCACACCTACCACCATCCCACTATCACTTTCGTCCTTGCTTCGCGTAAAAGGATTAACCTAGGAATTGTGGGATGGACTCTAGGAGGCTTATATGTTAGTCTATCCCAACTTCAACAACTAAGGTGGGACTAAACTCTCCACAATATCTCATTAATATGGGTCAAATTCCAAACTAGGCCAAATGTGACAATGATTGACGCAGACATGTACTCCGTTGGACACATATGCCATCATTTAAATTTTGTTCTCATAACGTATGTGTCACATGCAACTGATGTTGGATTGGAGTTATCAAGCAATTAGATACTAACATCACTATTTCACATCACCGTTGATTTAAAAAAGTGATAGGCCTTGATACTAACATCACTATGTCACATGCTTCACTTTTAGTTGTTAGGCCAGTCTTAGTGAAACTTTTATAAATCACTCTTTATTAATACCGTGCCACGTCAACTTATTTAATGATCATGAAACTCTCATTAAATCCTCATTTAGACTGGCTCACCATATCACTGATGAGATTAAAAAGTGATGGGTATTAAGTGTGTGCCCTTCACTTTTGGGCCTGATGAAAACTGCTGCTGCTGAAGGCCTGAAGCAAACCTGCCTACATCTACTATTCCTTGCAGAAGAAAATAAACATCCACATCCGCTGCAGCTGTTCGAATATCACAGTCGAGCAGGGGCGGTAGACAATAGTCTTTTTTTTCTTTGACGTTCGTCAACAAGGAGATTAAAAAGAGACTGACAGAAAGCTTATCACCTTTCAAGTATGTTGGCGGACGAAATCCGTCACTTTTATACTTTAATAACGCCGTATTTAATTATTTTCACGTGGTTTGAAAAGTATTGGGAAGTTTTTCTCAAATCCTTTATTATACTGCACAGAGATCATACAGCAAACAGGCAATGCTTTATACCTGTATGTATCGGAGTTCCATGTGCGGACAGTCCCATCATGTGAACCTGTGAGTAGTAACGGAAGTTCTGGGTGACGATAGACAGAAGAGATACGGTCTGTGTGCCCTTCGAGTGTCTGAACACATGTTTCTGTCTCCAAGTCCCAGATCTGCGGGAAAAAAATTAAATTGATGAAGCACTATCACTTACTCCCTTCGTCCTTAAATAACTGTCGCTTTTGATTTCCGTGCCATAAGTTTGAATGGATTTATAGAAAATACGTACAACATTTGTATCTCTAAACAAATTTATTATTATGAAAATAGATTCAACGATCTATCTAATAATATTAATTTTGTACCTTAAATATTAATATATTTTCATATATATTTAATCAAAGTTGTTTCTCAAGAAGCGAAAACGACATTTATTTAGGGACGGAGGGAGTATACACACAAATGCAGTGCTGTAGTTGTAAAAAAAAATGACATACTTGTGTTGTCCCATCCGAAGAGCCGGCAACCAAACACTGTCCAGTATCACCCATGTAGGTTAGAACACAAGGCAGTTCGACCAGATGATCAGACAGTGTTTTCTTGCACTTAGAAGAAGATATATTCCAGATCTGCAAGGGCATACAACAAAACAGCACAATTAATAACACTATTACAAAAATAAATTTTGTGAGACACTATCCAAACATTAACGCAGGCGGTCGCAGCGGCAGCGGGCTCGGTGGACCTCGGCAATAGGCTTGGTGGGCCACTGGGCTCGCGGGCCGTCTTTTTTTATTATTTTGTGAATTTCATTTACACATATTTCCCGTCTGCGAACATCTTCATTAACGCAGATGTTTTCGTGCAAGCGGATTCAATGTCCGCCTCTGTAAACGCTATTTGCCAGCCTGGGATAAGTTTTCTGTAGTAGTATAAGCCTCCATGTGTAAAATGTAACCACAGATGTCCTTAACAGCAAACCAGCCTACATTGCATGAAACATCCGTTCAAAAAAAAGTTCGTTTCTAACCATCCGACGTATTATCACCAAGGAAACTTTGACCACAAACCACCGAAACAAATAACTTTTCCATCTGTCTAGCTTCAAAGGAGGCGTTGTATTTTCTCAAAATAAAAAGTTTGATTTAATCTCTAAAATTCATAACAAAATTATTTCAAATTACAGAAATATTACAATGCCACAAATTTTAAACCCAATTTTTTTTAAACCCCAAATGTTTTATTCCTAGCAGTCACTACATCCTTTATGTCAGTCTCCAATTATATTACAGTGCCAAAAGATCATTTAAAAAATAACGCACATGGCAACGAGCAGTGCAACACTGGAAATCTAAAGGTTCTTAATGGAGCCTCCTTGTTAATCCTCATGAGACATAATAAGAAAAAAATTATAAATTCTAAAAAGATAGAAACATTGGGTCTTGTATTGAGGAGACTCTTGTCATCATTAACCATAAGCGATTATTCTGTTTTTTCTAAAATAATAACACCCATGTCATTACAAAACTAGTCTAAAGTAACCTCTAAATCTTGATCAAAATTGCGCACCACTACCATTATAGAAATGATGTAAAGTAAACTTCTAATCATTATCTTAACAAACCACCTTTCCCATTATAAAAAATATTGTAAAGTAAATTTCGATCTTGAGTAAACCACCTTATTATAATTAAAATAGCATAAGTCTAAATCTACATTTAACATTATTAAAAAATTCCAAAAATACTTTTATGTTACTTGATCCTTTCGTCACTAACATAAAAAAATTAACTAAGCGAATCAAAGGTCACCTCTAAATGTCCAACTCAGTTTTACCACCACCATTATTACTAAAATAACAAAAAGTAACCGATAAATGTAAATTATATATCTATCATTAAAAAGTGTCCAAAAGTTAAATCAGAAGAAGATAAATTAGAGGCCTCGATGGAGACTCCATATGTTAACTCTCACCAGACGCGCTAGGAAAATTAAAGATGAATAATATAAATTCTCACATTAATCAGAAACATTTGACCATTAATAAGAAGACTCTAACTATTCATAACCATTAGATCTATTTTATTTAAAGAAACTTACTCACCTCCATCGTTATAAATAGAAAATAGCCTAAAATATAATTGCCTAAAAACAAATCTGGCCGCACGGGAGAAAATATTGTTCGACCTTTGATTAATAAAATATCTAATATAATAGGAATTAGTGATCAGGTTAAAAGTTAGTTAACATATTATAAAATATTAGTCATTACGTTAACGGTTAGCCTAAAATATCATTGTCCAAAAAAACTAATCTGGCCACATAGGAGGAAATACTAATCGGCCGTTGATTAATAAAATATCTAATAGGCACTACCGATCACGTAAAGGTTGGTTAATATATTAATAAATTATATGTATTAATAGGATATCCACCCATGATGTTTCCGGTTGGTTAATCTTTTAATAAAAAATCAAATAGAAATAAAGTTTGTCTAGTAATATCAACCCAAACAAAAAAGGTACACTTGAGCTAGACTACAAGTAAAAGAGCTGTGTCGGTCTAAAAAAACGAGACAATTTTTTTCTATAGCACGGAAACAATAAACCATTTGTTTGGCATTCGTTCTATTGTTTTTACTGTACATGGATTGAAGATAATTCAACATAACTCTTAAATTTGCATCTAAATCAACCATGTTTTAATTATGAGTGACAATTCAGAATAACCCTCTAAATTTATACCAAAAGTATCCATCTCAGCCATTACGAAAGATAATTTAAAATAATCTCCTAATATTTTTATATATTACTCGCATCTACCATTACAAAAGATAATGTAAAATAACTACTAAGTTTGCATTCAAATTATCATATATGCCACTATTAAAGGTAATATAAAGTAAATTATCAACCTCAATCCATTATAAAAAAAAGTAAATAAAAAATATCTCAAATCTCATGTTATTAATAAATAAATATATATATATATATATATATATATATTATGAAATATCACCCAATATTCATAAAGTACTATATGTATCTGTTAAGTGAAATACTTATTTTAATAACTTATGAAATGTTCCTTTAATAACAGATAGCAATGACAATGATAATTCACTTAAAGTTATATGATACTCTACAATAATAATTTTTAAGTCATTATATTAAATAAGTTTATATATTTTGACTAATAAACTAATATTCCTATTTTAATTTTAAGCAGACTATATTATATATAATACTACACATAATGTTTTGACATAATGAAATCCAACATCTTAAGTGTGGTGGTGCAAGCTGAAATGACCATTTGGGCTGTTGTGAAAATTGACGTGTAGTCTCAGACCCGGAATTTTTAATAAAATAAAGAACCTAAAATTTGAATAGAAGATACAATAAGAACTAGAGTTTTAGCTTAAAAATGTTTATATATTATGCAATTATATTAAAGTTTGATTAAAGTAAATATATCTATTGTACCATCATGTAACACACAAATGTATAAAAATAACTATATATTATGTTTTAGTAATCATGAAAATATTTTATTTCATATACTAATGATACTAACAAGTTATTTAAAATTTATATTAATGACCATGACATATAATTTATAAAAGTTTATGCCTTAGCTATTTATACATTCTAACTAAAACGTTTGGTATGACTATATTGATTATATAAGCATTACTGCACATATAATTTCTTGAAATAATTCAAACATCTTGAGAAGTGAGGTAGGTTAGTCCATACCAAATGTAGCTATATATATCTTACTGGTATTTGAGATTCTTTTATGGTAAACAATCATTATAAGACTTTGGTATTTATGTCCTCTCCAGGTTAGCACCTCTACGCCATCCATGATCTTTGATCAAGCTCTACCATGGATCTTAATTGATGTAGTGCCGATTTTAAGTGTTATTTATGGCATCGTAGTCCTTAATATAGTAGTTTTCTGGTGGCCTAACATATCCTTATTTTAAAAATTACAGATGAGAGTTAATAAAATGTACAATAAGTACAAGAATTTTGATTTAACATGAGAATATAAAAGAAGTAGCAATTAAACTTAGATTCATGGAGTCATAAGATATGAGCTGCAACAACAGCCATCACAGTTTAATCTAATGTTTGAAATAAATGTGCATTAAAAATAAAAGGTGCCATGAAAAGGAACAAACTATGGATATGGATGACAAAACATTTGGTTATCACAACTAGATAGTGAGTACAAAATATCTATTGTGTCTATTGTGTTGGAGAATGAACAAAGTGTAATTTAATATAAGTAATTTTTATTAGTTTGAGATATTAAACAATAATTAATCCTTCTCCTTATGTCTCCCACAATTCTATCCCATGCGAGATCATGGTTAGAGGACTAACTCATATTTGCAGGTGGAATTAACGTTCTAATTTGTTCTATATCCATACGGTTCAATTCATAAAGAGGGACATCCAACATACTAATAATAGACAAAGTCTGCCATACTGGGACACAAAACAAAGGAAGAAAAAGAAAATAAACAACCGTAGAATCAAATTAATGTTACACCCACTTCAAAAAACAATTAATGTTACATTATCACCAGTGCCACACAACGATCTAAATCTACATTGAAATAAAAGTTAATTGTATAAAGTAATTTTTATTAGTTAATATATATTAAATAAACAGGGTTTTCTATTGCTTAAGTATCTCAAAGTTAGCCCGTGCCGGAGCACGGGTTGATGGACTAGTGACTAAAATCAAAATAACTCCAACCAGAGTACCAATAGATAGTTTATACTTGTAAAAAAATAATCATATAGGTTTCATAATTTTGTGATGTAAAATAATTAGTTATGACTGTTTTATTAAGAACAGTATACCTTTTGTTTTCGAGAAACACAACCATCTTGATGGCCAAGCTTGTCTGGTGTTTACAGATCGGTGGTTAAAAGTTCTTGGTGTTTAAGTTGCATGAGCGAAATAAACTCGGATAATATATAGTTAGATGGCTCTCTCCTTGGTGACTACTAAGACCTAAATCAAATGGTACCTTGATTGTTTGGTCCAAGGATGCACTGGCAAAACTGTCGGTGTCCACTGGGTTGAAAACCACTTGCATCACTGTGTCAGAGTGGCCCTCTAATGTTCGAATACACTCCCAGCCCTTCTTCCAGTCCCAAATCTTTATCAGGTGGTCGTCGGACGACGAGAGCACAAGAGGATCAGTGGGATGTACAACCAATGACGTGATGTTAGCCTCGTGAGCTTCAATGCTTGTGACCTTTTCGTCTGTATCGTAGCTGTATACGTAGATAATCCCATCGCCATCACCAGCCACAAGGCATTCCTCTTTTTCAATGAATTTGACTGAACTCACTGTAGTTAAAATAAACAAATATAATATTACCAATAGCATTGGAGTTGAGGCAAATAAAAAAAATACTGATGTCAGAAATCAAACCTGGTCTCTGTGTAAAGTCGAAGGAGCTCTCTATTTCCTGCAGATACAAGAACTTATTTAGTTTTATGCATTATTCACTGCCAAAATGGAGGAATTCTCGTAGTGCACTGAGTAGTAGTAAAAACACTACCACAAATCCTAGCATATGGGAATGAATCCTCACTAGGAGGCATTTGGCAGAAAAGAGCTCATACTAAATGTTGAATGCTAAACACTAGGAGAACCTCACATCACTAGGAGAAGCTGTAGATTCTAGTTGTGATTATATATACAAAGCATGAGGACTTATTTCATCTAGTAGAAATATACCTGTTCCTGGTAGTCCCAAATATAAATGTCTCCCCCCTGATGGCTCGTCATTATCCTGCATACACATTGCGAAATTTAAAGGCAGGAAAGACTAATCAACCTAGACAAAAGAGAGAATAACGCCACTCAAACTACCACAGTACACTAACCACGGCTCCACTGGATGCACTTCCACACACAACACCTGTGACAACTTCTTATTGGATATGATCTGATCAGCCAAAATAGTGGAACACCGACCATCACCATTAGTGAAAAAGCTCCATTGTGTACGTAAAAGGCAATGTTGCAATAAGAGAGAAGGATGCTACCTCAATTTCGTACTGGAACGGCTGCCAGATCACCATTTACCACAACATCAGAAAACAAGATGAAGTTTATGGAAATATATGTTAGTTTAGTATAGTATATCACCTCCGTCAGGACAAGAATACAATTCTAGTTCTACTCCTAGTAAAATTATTTAAAGTTTAACCAAGTTTATAATTAAAAGTATCAATATTTATGATACCAAATACTTTATCCGTCCCAAAATTATTGCATTCAGTTTTCAAAAAGTCAAACTTTGTTGGGTTTGATTTCAAATATATATGTATAAAACATAAATATTTTTAATGCACAATAAGTATCATTAGATTAATAGTGGAATATATTTCATAATAAACATATTAGGAGATACACATGTTGATAATATTTTTTATAAATATAATTAATCTTTAAAAAAATTGACTGCACGAAAAATGAGATGTGTTGTTATTTTGGGTTGGAGGAAATACATACCATGTGAAAGTATATATACTAAATAGCGTAACGATACTTCTTTGATATTATAAGTATTGATTTTTTTTATCAAAATCGGTCAAACTCGAGATGGTTTGCCTTGATACTATGTTAGAATTGACTACTTTTTGATACGAAGGAAGTACATCTTGACATGTTTTATGTGTTTACATAACATGCCGGGCTTACCTGGTCAAAAGTTGCCTCTTTCGGTAAGTCAAACACAACCTTGAGCTTGTGCTCATGCACATTGTCAGCCCCCAACCCTTTCGCTTCTTTAAAAATGTTCTTAAATGATGTGATACCTACTGAGTGTAGGTCGGCATTCTCGACGTTGACGCCTTTATGGACAATACAGCTTTCTAGAGAAAGGACTTCGTCAGCAAGAAGTTGCTCGTGCCCCTTCATTGTCACGACAAGGGTGTAAGTGGACCGCGGTGGCACAACTCCGCACAGCAACGTAGCAGCGACGTATCGCTTTGGGTTGTTCGTGAGAAGCTTAGCAGCGACGTAGTCGTCTGTCCTGTTGATTAGACGCAGTGGACATGAGAACGATTTATTTTGCTTGAAGGGGAAGCGAAGCTGCGGTGGGTCAACGTAAAGCTGCACAGAGGACGTGGGCGTCATCTCATCTGGAGATGAACTATCGGCCCATATCTGCAGACGCAGAAAAAACGTTGCCAAGTTAGCTGGGAGAACACAAGCGCTTTTTCACGAGAAATTTGAAAAAGGCACCTACTGCTGTTTACTAACAATATATCAATACGGTGCACTACCTATTCTTATCTTACCAACAAGGATACGTGCTAAAAATTTCAGACAGAGCAATGTAATGAAACCGAATGAACTGATGAACATAAATCGTCCGAATGAAGATGCCTCAAGTGTTCATATACCTGGTCAAAAATTAGCATACGTTTCCCGTTGAGCTTATCAACAATATCCACTATGGAAGGTCTCTTGTTCCGATCAGCCTCCACGCACTTCAGCGCAATTAAGATGCATGTTTTTACTTGCTGGAGGCCATTTGCATCTAATAATGGGTACTTGTATATTATTTGTTCATCTGTCTTCCAGTTTTCTTGTACCTAAGAATTAATAGGATTTGATTCTTGGTGATATTGTACTAACTGAATGCATGGAAAGACTATAAAACAGATGTTTGAACCAAGGAAGGCTGTCTTACATTGTCGACAAGTTCCCTTGAAGCTTTGTCTTCAGAGTCATAGACTGCACAGTTCTTCTCTCTAGTCGTGATCTCCATAATAAGCATGCCTAAACTATATATGTCTGACATGGTGGATATTTCGCCCCTGTATAGATATTCGGGAGCCATGTATAATCCACTGCAAGAGTTTTATCAAAGAATCAAATGTCGTTTACTTTATATAATTTGGATAAAAATCATGTTTCACTGTTTGTTTCGACTTACTTTTCTCCCTTAACATTGAATGTGTACATCCGGGTCTGCTCTTTTCCAAAGTGTCTCGAGAGACCGAAATTGGCAAGCTTTGGCACCCAGTTATCATCGAACCATATAGAGTTAGGCACAAGACTCATGTGAACAAGGGGGTGATCCAATTCCTTATGAAGGAAATGTAAACCCTGGCAGATCCCCTTGATTATTTTGAATCGTGTGTCCCAGTCAATTGAACTAGTGTGCACTGAAGAAGTACAAAGTAAAGAAAGTGTACTAATGAATTGTAAGTACTCTAAGATATATAGTACTTGCTTACAGTAGTAGCAATAAATGAATATTGAAAATAATATCTCTTTTAATTTGACACTAGTAGGAATAATAGAGAAAGAAAGACAAGCGTGTTGGATATAGTTCATATTAAATACCATAAATGTGATTGTCGAGACTTCCATTAGCTAGATATTCGTAGCATAGACAGCTTTCGATCATGTCTACAATTACATATCTTCCACTATGCTGAATCACTTTCTTCTGCGCTTCATGGCAGAATCCCACCAGCTGTACTATATTTTTGTGCTTAAGCGCCATAAGATTTTGAACCTCAGTTTCAAATGTTATGGCAGCTGGCACTAGTGCATTTTCAGCAAGCCTTTTCACTGAAATTACGCCGCCTGTTGGCAGAATTCCCTGTTGAACCTCCAATATTAGTATTTACTAGGATGATTTTTGCATCGGAATTAATTATTATAATCATAGGGCCCAATCATACCTTGTACACTGTTCCAAATACTGAGCCACCAAGTTTTCGCTCAGTAGCGAAATCAAGGGTAATTTCCTTCAAAAAAACAGCTGGCATATTCGTCGGTAATGATAATGTACTTCCATGACTCTGCATCACCGCCAACAAGGGACCGCTGTAACCATTTCTCTTGTTTTGTTTGTTTTTGATCATTAAACAAAAAAAACACAGGCATGCATGATATAAAAGCTACCCAACGATATAACTACCCAGCGATATAACTGGTAAGGAATCATTCCTATATATAGCCTAACATGCCCCATTGAGCATCTGGATGTATTTCAGAATTGTAAACATGTGCATCTACACCCCCTAAGTGTATTTTTGGGAATTAATAACAAAATGGCCAAGGGGCTAAGAGCAACTCCAAGACTCCATCTAAAAGTAGATGTCAAATTCTATGATTGAGCCAGTTTGTAAAATAAAAACCTTCTAAAAAAATGTCGAGTTCTACAACAGCTTGTGTAAATTTTTCCTTGGCTATATTTAAAACTGCCACGTCATCAAGTTTCATCAAGTAATGATAATGTACTTCCATGTCTCGCATCGTCATCCAATCGGTGGCGGTCCCAGCTAAGCTTGTGTCCAAGGCGGGCACTGTGCGGGAGGCTGACGACGTGCATGGAGCCACGCGGACATGGCCGTCCGACGGGAGCTGCATGGACGGGGGAGGAAGATGACGCGGTTGGCAGCGGGCAGGGAAAATTCATCCGTGTGGGAAACGGCCAGCGAGGCAGCGAGAATTAACGCGGGGAGGCGAATGGCTAGCGGATACGGCATGCTATATGTAGAGAGCGAGAAGTCCGGAATACATGACTTGTTATTTTGGAACACAGGATAGAAAAGTTGTTGGAGCCCTATTTTTTACAAAAATTTCTAAAATTTGACTCCAACACCAAGATAGCTCCTCTCTTGGAGTTGCTCTAATGAATTTCACAAGTTTTGGATAAGCTTTCAATCATAAGATGCAAAGTGACAATTGACCTCCTCTAATTTCAAATGTTTGCAGCATATAGACCTACATATGATTTAACAATATTTTTTTTAATATGATTTTAGAAATGCTATACTACAAGGGGTATGTGAATTCTTATGCTTCAAAATGTCTCTATATTCAAAAGAATCTTTACAAACCAGTGAGAGGCACAAAAACTCGTGAACACGTAATTTCTAACCACTAAGTTCTTTGTCCACCGAAGTGTGTCCGGCAGGTTATCAGGTCATCCAATAACTAAAGAATCATCCGATGAGTCTCTAGCAACGGGTGCTTAGTTTGAGCAAGGGATTAAGATCAGGAGGTAAGGGATTAGGGAGTGTGAGATTCTTTGCCGTCATTTCAGTTATGGAGGCTCCTTCAAGTTAGTAGTTCGCAATTGTTATGTGTGGAGCCATGATAAATACCTAGACACATAAGCATTTTCCATGAAGTTAAGCTCCCATCTCTATTGGTGAGATCCAAGATGTTTGTACCACTCACCTCTTTGGAATAATTTGAGTAAATCATCATGAACTTCATCTTAGCGGTCACATGAGGGATGATAGGATGAACAATACCAGGTTCTTTATGCTGAGATCATCAATGGAGACACAACTTCAAATGTGGGAGTGAACTATGGTAGACAAATATTGCATCTCTTCTGTTGAGAGAGATTAACATAGCCTTCTTGAACCCAGTGATGTATAGTTAGAAGACAATACGGGACAATAGCACCACCGATGAATTGACAATGGGCTTGCTTGCCCAACAAGACAAATCATTCATAGTTCTAGCCTACAACTACATGTAACTATGTTGTAAATGCCTAATTTTCTACTCCATTACATATTTTAGGGTTGAGCATAATTGACAGTGGGGCGTTTGAAAGTGCATCTAGCCCTTTAGTGGGTTTTGGATGATTGAATGGCAACGTGATTAAAGGACTAACCCGTTTGCTAAGTGTGGACAGGTAATAGGTTATCTCATAGGTACTTAATGAAAGCCAAAATGATATGTTGTTGTATAAACAATCTAGTTCAAGCACAAGACAACAATGCAAATGGAATTCATGTGAAGGCTTATTTATTGTGGGATTTCCATGTACTATGTGAAAGCAAGCTCGTGATTATTAGTTAATGAGACATGAGGGATTGCATATGGAATGGTCTCATATTTGAAGCTTGCTAAATTAAAATGAAAAAGATAACAATACATATGAATGGATGATTCAACACAAGATGTGACTTGATGGCTTGAGATGGTGAAGATAGCAAGGAAAGGCTTCGAGGTACTAAGCAAGGGTGAAGGGCAAGCGACGGCTTGGTGGCCGAAGAACCTAGCTAGGGTGAAGAAGAAAGTACTTGCATTTAGTTGAGGTACTAATCAAGCTAAGATGGTCATATTGATGTGAAGGATCAAATCTATAATGGAGTGTTTGATGGAAGTGACTTGATACATTTGGGATTATTCAAATTTGATGAATGAAATCAAGTCACATGCTCAAGATGGCTATGTTCAAGTGAAAAAATCAACATCAACATGTTTGCACCCTTACTTGATGAAGATTGGAAGGGACGGCATCAACTCGAAAGAGATCAACTCAAGTGGTATAAATTCATGTTTCCTTTGATCTTGAGTTTAATAGGTATGCCGTACTATTAAGAGGGATGCATCATGTTGATAGATAATTATTCATAAGTGCTTAAGCCAACCCATGTGAGTTTTAAGTATTTGAGAGACAAAAGAGCTAACTGATTTCTTGCTGGTCTGGCATTACCGGACGTGTCCGGTATGCATGACCAGAAGCCAACGGCTAGTTTCCAAAAGCCTTAAGGGTCGGGAGTTCCGACACCTCACTAACTTTAACTCAGTTACATGTTTTTCAAATTTGCTAAGGGTCGGGAGTTCCGACGTGAGTCGGGAGTTCCGACGGTCGGAAGTCCCGGCATTCATCGGGAGTTCCGACGCCTCACAACTTCACTGTAACTTAGTTACCGTTGGCGCAGTGTAAGTCATACTGCATACCGGACGTGTCCGATATGGCAACGGCTATAAAATGGCTAGTTTTTTAAGGGGGCTATAAATACCCCCAAGCCTCCACCTTTGGAGGCTGCTGATTCTGCTGAGATAGACACACGTTTTTGAGCCTTGCCAACTCTCCTAAACTCTCTCTTAGTGAGTGTGTGATCCAAATTGCAAAATCAATTTGTGGGTTAAGAGAGAATTTGAAAAAGAGAGCAAGCCACCACTTGAGCACTTGTGCATATTATCAATCTCGTGATTCGCATTTGTTACTCTTGGACTCTTCAGTCCTAGACGGCTAGGCGTCGCCGGAGAGCAACCGAGAGATTGTGGTTGCTTCGGAAAGTTTGTAACAGTCGATTCCGCCGCCTCGGAATCATTTAGTGAAAGGAGGAAAAGGAGTTGGAAAAGACTCCGGCTAGAGTGACCTTCGTGGTACCCTCTAGGGCTGACCTTCACTGGGTTGCCCGTAGCCCCCTCAACGGAGAGTAGGACTCGAACGAGTCCGAACTTCGGTAAAACAAATATCATGTCTAAATTCGCATTTCATTTGATATTTGTGTTGCTCCAGCTCTTGTGCAGGTTCTCTGTGTTTACTGTCATCTTTAGTAGGTACCTGCAGTTTGGTTTGAAGATAGAAATCGAAAGGAGCAAGTTCGGGGCTGTTCTGCAGAAACCGTGCATACCGGACACGTCCGGTATTAGAGCTCTGTGCTGAAAATATTAATTCGCTGTTCTAACTTTGTGTTGCAGAGTTGTAGCTTCTAGATATATTCTTTATACCTTGTACACTGTGTGGCTAACTTGTGAGGGGTGGTATTACTCTTATTTAGAGTTTCCAATTTGGAAACTCCCTTTACTAATTGTTTCTGCATTTAAAGGTGTTAATTTTTAGAAACGCCTATTCACCCCCCCTCTAGGCGGCATCTTAGGTCCTTTCAATTTGTATCAGAGCGAGGTTCTCACTTAAAGCTTCACCGCCGTGAGAAAAGGATGTCGACGTCTATCGAGTTGGAGCCGGTGCTTCTCCAAAATGATGGTTCAAACTTTCTAACTTGGTCAATACATGTACTCAATGCTTTTAGAGATATTAGTCCTTTTGTTGAGCATATTGTGGATGCAAGCATACCTCTTCCTATAGTTGATTGGAGCAACTACAAAAATTTGTCAAAAGAGGAAGAGATATGCGTGCAACTCAATGCTCAAGCTATTAATATTATTTTGAGTACATTGAGTGTAGAGGTTCAAGATGAGGCAATCTTCAATGGACAACCACCTCCGGAGAGTGCTCATCTCATTTGGACTAGACTTTTTGATTTATATGGAAAGTCCAAATGTGATGATGCACTTGAGATCGAGTCAATGGAAAGTATGTCCATTGTGTCATCATACAGCGAAGAAGCCTCACAAGACCTCAAGAGCGCCGAGCCAGAGCAAGAAGTGCAAGCAGCGCATGACCTACTGTCTGCCTGCACATACCGGACGTGTCCGGTATGCCTACCGGACGTGTCCGGTATGGCCGAGGCAGCAGACCAGCAAGCAGCTGTTTGCAACGATGCTCAAGCCCGGTGGTGACCAAGTGATGAGTCAACCTCAGTATCTCATGATACTCATCACTTGTGTCTCATGGCCAAGAAAAGCAAGAAAAAGAGTAACAAGAAAGATCAAGAAAAGGAGAAAGCACAAGTAGATGATCAAGATGAGAGTGATGTTGAAGTTGAAGACAACTACAACCTTGATCATCTCAACCGCAAAGACAAGTTCATCATCATGAAGATAGTTGAAAAGAATGATGAGCTTAAAGAAGAGATTGAGAAGCAAGAGCAATCACTTCAAAAGCAAGAATTGTTTCTCATCTCCAAGATGGAAGAACTAAAGGCTCTAAGTGAAAGGTATGAAAAAATGTCAATTGAGCATGCTTTAGTTACTAAATCCTCTTCTAGTGTTTCACAACTAGAGAAGGAAAACTTGGAGCTCAAGGCAAGGCTAGATGAACTATCAAGCAAGTATAATGTGCTACAAGCAAACTATGTTCATCTAAAGTGCTCTCATGATGAAGTAGTAGAATCAAGCTTCATGCTTGAGGTAGCTCATGAGG